TACATCAGTCCCATCAGAGTGCCCCCCCTACATCAGGCATTCCCATCAGAGTGCCCCCTTACATCAGGCATTCCCATCAGAGTGCCCCCTTACATCAGGCATTCCCATCAGAGTGCCCCCACATCAGGCATTCCCATCAGAGTGCCCCCTTACATCAGGCATTCCCATCAGAGTGCCCCCTTACATCAGGCATTCCCATCAGAGTGCCCCCTTACATCAGGCATTCCCATCAGAGTGCCCCCTTACATCAGGCATTCCCATCAGAGTGCCCCCTTACATCAGGCATTCCCATTAGAGTTCCCCCTTACATCAGGCTTCTGCATCAGAAGGCCCCCTTACATTTGGTGTCTACCATCAGTGTGACCCTTACATTAGTTGTCCCCATAAGAGTGCCCCATTATATAAGGTTCCCCCATTACGGTGACACCTTACATAGGGTGTGCCCATCAGTGTGCCCCCCTACATTAGGTGTCGCCATCAAAGTGCAACTTTACATCATGTATCCCCATCACATCAGGTGTGCTTATCTGAGCAGGGTTGATAAAAATCAAAAAAAAAAATTTTTTAAAACAGATTTCCTTTTTTTAATTTAAATCTAATTTTTTTCATTTTTATTAAATTTTAATAAAATGCTTTTGGTATAAAAATCTAAGGATAGTTTTCTATTTAAGTTACATTAGTAATTTATTTATTCAGCATGAAATGGAGCTTAGTTATGTAGCACGAGGCTGTATATTCTGCAATATTTACATTTTTGGTGAACTCATTCAATGAATCCAAGCTCTGCAAGCTGAGATAACATGCACTGCATTGATGCATTCACACAATTTCACAGTGACCATGAGATAAAACAAAGTTCAGGAATATTCCTTTATCCCATTATTTTGCAAATTATGTAAACTACAAACTGTATGATTGATTTTTTTGAAGAGAAATGCATCTGTTGCAGGCTCTAAGTGTGAAGAAGGGCAAGCAGTAAAACAAACCTTCTAAGCAGCTTATAAACCTTGTGATCTTTATGCACATAAGTGTCTGTTTATGAACCATCGGTAAAGGATCGCTGTTCAGTTCTCCGGTATTCTCGAAGAACACAGTTCTCCTGCGAATGCCTTTTATGAAGTGGTGTAGATCAGTTCTCCGAACGAAGGGAGAACGATCTACAAACGCTGGAAAACGGCTGCTTTTACTATATTCTCGCGAGATTACAGTAAGAGATCAGTTTACTAAGCAGAGGTAAATTATCACTGCTTAGTTTGTGGTTCCTCCGATTCTCCAGCTCTGGGCTGGAGAATCTGGAGGGAGAACACAGATCTCCACAGTGAAGGGCTGACATCGCTCCTCACTGATCTCCTGAGTGTCAAACTGTAAATGACCAGAGAGTAGCTGCGATCCTCGGAATCGCAGCTATTCTCTGTGTCATAAACGTACACCATAACTTGAAGTGCATTATTCTTCCCTTGAGGAGCAAAATGGCAGCAGGAGCAGGCTGTAAAAGAGACCCAGTTTAGGAATATTTTAATGAAGTTCCTGTATCTATGAGTAAAGCAGGTATGCGTGCAAAATGCAAGCAAAGCAACAAAGAGATGCAAGGCCTGGTGGCCAGAATGAAATAAAATCATGAGAAGTGCTTTGATGAAAGGACCATGTTTGAGAGGCAGGACCTTCAAGTTGGTAAACTGTTTTTATTTCACCACATTTTTTAGACTGCCATGAGGTTTTGTTATCCTAAAGCAATAATACAGTTATGTCTATATATATATTTGGACACAGGCACAATTTTCACACTTTTAGCTCTGTAAGCCACCAGAATAAATTAAAACTAAACAATCCAAATGAATTTGAAATGCAGACTTGCAGCTTTAATTCAAAGGGTTGAACATAAATATCTAGTACAAATTTTAGGAACTACAACCATTTTTATACACAGTCCCTCCATTTTCAGAGGCTCAAATGTAATTGGACAAATGAATATAATCATAAATAAAATGTTAATTTTCAATATTTTGTTGAGAATTCTTTATTGGCAATGACTGCCTGAAGTCTGGAACCCATGGACATTACCAAAGACTAGGTTTCCTCCTTTCTGATGCTTTGCCAGGCTCTAACTGCAGCTGTTTTTAGTTGTTCTTTGTTTGTGGGTCTTTCTGCCTTTAATTTTGCCTTCAGCAAGTGAAATGCATGCTCAATTGGGTTGAGATCAGGTGATTGACTCGGCCATTGCAGAAAATTCCTCTTCTTTTCCTTCAAAAGCACCTGGGTTGCTTTTGCAGTGTGTTTTGGATCATTGTCCATCTGTACTGTGAAGCGCTGTCCAATCAACTTTGCTGCATTTGGCTGAATCTGGGCTGACAGTATATCTCTAAAACTGCAGAATTTATCTGGCTGCTTCTGTCACATCATCAATAAACACCATTGACTCAGTGTCACTGGAAGCCATGCAAGGCCATGTCATCACACTGCCTTCACCATGTATTACAGATGACGTTGTGTGCTTTGGATCATGAGCTGTTCCAAGCCTTCTCCACACTTTTTTCTTCTTGTCATTCTGGTACAGATTAATCTTAGTTTCATCCGTCCAAAGAATGCTTTTCAAGAACGGGTCTGGCTTTTATGGATGTTTTTTGGCAAAGTCTAATCTGGCTTTTCTATTCTTCAGGCTTATGAATGGTTTGCACCTTGTGGTGAACCCTCTGTATTTGCTCTCGTGAAGTCTTCTCTTGATTGTAGACTTTGACAATGATAAGCCCACCTCCTGGAGAGTGTCCTTCACTTGTCTGGATGTTGTGAATGGGTTTTTCTTTACCATAGAGAGGATCCTGCGATCATCCACCACTGTTGTCTTTCTTTGGACGTCCATGCCTTTTTATGTTGCTGAGCTCACCAGTGCGTTCTTCTTTCCTCACAATGTACCAAACTGTTGATTTGGCCACTCCTAATGTTGCTGCTATCTCTCTGATGGATTTGTTTAACTTTTGAAGCCTTACAATGGCCTGTTTTTCACTTGCATGGACAGTTCCTTTGGATGCATAATGTAGGCTCACAGCAATAGATTCCAAATGCAAATACCATACTTGGAAACAACTCCAGGCCTTTTACCTGCTTAACTGCTGAAAAAATAATGAAAGGATTAGCCCACATCCGGCCATGAAACAGCTTTTGATTAAATTGTCCAATTACTTTTGGTCCCTTGAAAAAGGGGGGATGGCTACTCTGAAGAGCTGTAATTTCTAAACCTGTCCTCCAATTTGGATGTACATACCCTCAAATTAAAACTGAGTGTGAACTTACAGTCCATATCCATTGGATAACTATAGCTTGAATATGTTTTTGTGAATACCTGAAAAAAACAAACATTTTGCCTGTATCCAAATATATATGGACCTAAATGTATATGTCTGCTATTGTTACTGCATGGTACTGCATTTTTATACAGTTGCCAAAAAAGAAATGAGTTGAGATATGCAAATATTCCCTTTTCCAGTTCTTCAAAAATTAAGATTTAAAACGAGCCCTTTCATTAATTTAAATTAAATCCAACCTGTGTCAGAGTGCCCCCTTACACTCAAAGTACCCCTTTCCATCATATTTGCCCATCAGAGTGCCCCTTAACATAAAATAAGCAGCATGCTGATGGACACATTTTATGTTAAAGGGGCACATTCTATGTTGTGCCCATCAGAGTGCCCCTTAACATTAAATGTGCTCATCAGATCAGTGCCCCTTAATATAAATGTGCCCATCAAGGTCCCCCAGAAAGAACACACCCTACCTTGAAGGCAGACAGGTGTGGGAGGCAGGAGCTTGCCAGGATCCTTGCAAAAGGGGGTGGGGTACGCGCTTGTGGACAGGCAGGGAGCAGGAGCAACAGTGAGCTGCAAGGGGTAGGGCACATGTGTGATGTTATCGGTTGCCGGGATGACCGCCCTGCTGAGCAGGACCACCAGGCACCCACCCTGAACGATGGACGGATGACCTTGTAGCTGTCAGCATAATGCTGCACCCCCAGATGTGCGATGTATTATAATCAATGCGCATAATTTATGGTTTGGTGAGTGTACATCCGTACCAAGGGTGGATTTTCTTTTACAAGTTTTTGCACAGTTACTCTTCACTGATAACTTCACGTGCCAATCATAGGCATTTCGTCAGCTGATATCTTTGCACATGAGATGTTTTAAATTCACAAATGCTCTGATGAACTTATTTGATTGCATTTTATGTCATCTTGAACTAGTTATATTAATATTGCACTTTCAGCACTTTACTCACATATGCGTTTAAATCACATGCGTTTATGGAATTTATGACATGCATTTTTAGCACTGCGCTAATATTTTAGAAAAAAAGATGTGTATTTCATGCTGTAATGCTCACATTATTACTGGTGTGTGTTTATTATGCAGATTGCGAGGACTATAAGATATATCCTCCTGTGTGTGTCGTGTGATAATAAAAGTGGAGGTTTTGACAGTGAAAGAATACTGCAGTTGGATTCTGTTATTTCTTGGCGTGCCAAGTGAATGCTATGATGTGCCAGGGCAGGTGTTCATTTGGTAGAGGGTCTCTCACATGCTTAGAATAATGGTGTAAATGCTGGTGAACTTAACTTGTTCTTGGTGTTTTAGTCCAGCATTGCATTACAAAATGTCACCAAATAAGGAAAATATCCTCCCTATGCTGCACAGAGTTATAATGCACAGCCTTTGATTGAAAATAAAGAGTTAATTTAAAATACCATTTTTTTGTAATGCCATTGGTTATGTCTGCACACTCCGCACTGCAGTTTTTTCACTTTTTGAGTAGGAAAACTTATTAAATAATAATAATAATAGTAAATAATTACTGCTGGTAGAAGCCCATGAGCTGGAATTGAATGATTGGGGATGTTGCCTGTTCTATTACTTGCTGGCACTGGTTGCTTAAAGTGATACCAAACCCAGGACCCTGCATTCACTATATTTGGTCTCCCACAGCACACAGAATATGAAAGTGCAATTATTTTAGTAAATATAAACTGCTAAATACCTTTTCCCCTCAGCAGTTAGAGCAGTCGTGTGACTTCAGCTGAGCACTGGTTAAAGCTTGTAGGCGGAGTTATTTCTGCTATAGGAGGATGTAGAACCCCTGACCTCTGTCTGGAGAGTGCCGATTGGCCCTGTGCTGATCACATGCACTCTGCCAAGAAAAAAAAACCTCTCTAGCAACACACACTAAACTGAGCATGTGCAGAAGGGTTATGGGTTCAGTCTTTCTTATGAGTGTGGGCATTTGAACAAGAGGAGGGGCAGAGACATCAGGATCAAACAGCCTTTTTACACAATGCAGAGGATTAACCCTTAGGTTCCACAGTGAGTATTACAAGCATGCTTTACTGCAAATACAGACTGATTTTACTGTTGTGGGTTTAGTAACACTTTAAGCAGAGAACACTGTAGTCCATATGGGGAGTGAGCCGCTGAGGGAGGCTACATTCCCACATACGGTGGAACCATGTAGACTAAGTGTAGCCACCCTCAAAAGTAAGAGCATAGCAGATTTTAAAGTAGGTTTTCATCAGCACTGTAATAGTCATACAAATAGTTATTTCTGACAATGGTACTTTGCTGTCTACAAACAGTGATTCCTGTTGACTCTGCCTCCTGAAACTCCTCCTCTCAGCTCCTCTGTAGTTTAGAAGGCAGGCTCTGTGATCTATGTGGCACAGCAGTGCCTACTCACAGGGCATAGTGAGTACCGTATTTTTTGCCGTATAAGACGCACCTGACCATAAGACGCACCTAGGTTTTAGAGGCAGAAAACAGGAAAAATAAATTCTGAACTAATGGACTGCAGACAGATGACAGGGGGATGACCAGAGACTGCGGACAGCACAGGGATGACCAGAGACTGCGGACAGCACAGGGATGACCAGAGAGACTGCGGGATGGGACAGCACAGGGATGACCAGAGACTGCGGACAGCACAGGGATGACCAGAGACTGCGGACCACAGATGACCAGACTGCGGACAGCACAGGGATGACCAGAGACTGCGGACAGCACAGGGATGACCAGAGACTGCGGACAGCAGATGACGAGACTGCGGACAGCACAGGACAGCACAGGGATGACCAGAGACTGCGGACAGCACAGGGATGACCAGAGACTGCGGACAGCACAGGAATGACCAAGAGACTGCGGACAGCACAGGGATGACCAGAGACTGCGGACAGCACAGGGACAGAGACTGCGGACAGCACAGGGGACCAGATGACAGCACAGGGATGACCAGAGACTGCGGACAGCACAGGGATGACCAGACTGCAGACAGACAGCGGACTGCAGACAGCACAGGGATGACCAGAGACTGCGGACAGCACAGGGATGACCAGAGACTGCGGACAGCAGCACAGGGATGACCAGAGACTGCGGACAGCACAGGGATGACCAGAGACTGCGGACAGCACAGGGATGACCAGAGACTGCGGACAGCACAGGGATGACCAGAGACTGCGGACAGCACAGGGATGACCAGAGACTGCGGACAGCACAGGGATGACCAGAGACTGCGGACAGCACAGGGATGACCAGAGACTGCGGACAGCACAGGGATGACCAGAGACTGCGGACAGCACAGGGATGACCAGAGACTGCGGACAGCACAGGGATGACCAGAGACTGCGGACAGCACAGGGATGACCAGAGGGATGACCAGAGACTGCGGACAGTACAGATGACTGCTGACCTTTGGGGAGGTGGGGAGCGGGTATCTGAATTTGACAGGTACCCGCTCTTATTTCCGCAGAGTTTTTGTTTGATCTTACCTGTTCCTCGATCCAGCCGCGCGCTGTCTTCCCGTCTTCTGTAATGGCGCTCGGCATGACAGCCAAGTGCCCAGTGCGCATGAGCGAGAACCACTTGCGCTTTGTGATTGGTCCGGCGGCTTCTGGGATCTGTCATGTGTCCCAGGTACCGCCTTACCATTCACAAAAAGCACCGCTTCTTGCGCATGCGCACTTGGCACCCGGCTATCATGCCCAATGCCCACACTACAGAAGCCGGGAAGACAGCACGCCCGCTGGATAGAGGAACAGGTAAGGTCCCGCTGCAGAGCTGAGCGGCCGGCCCGGTATTCTGACACGGCCGCGGTGGAAATACTGGACCGGCCGCTCCATAAGACGCACTGACATTTCCCCCCCAGTTTTGGGGAAGAAAAAGTGCGTCTTACACGGGGAAAAATACGGTATGTGTCACAGAATTCAAAATAATAAATGCATGGGATTCTTCACAAAGTTTCCAAACTTCAAGAGGTGCAGACTAGAAATAACAAATACAATGTGGAAATAAATATATGATTTGATATTTTACCTTAGATATGCTTTGCAGTGGCCTGTAATTAGACAAAGAATGAGTACCAAGCACATTGCTAAGATCATCACTCTGATGTCTCCTCCTCTCAGAAGTCCCCAGTTTTTGTACACAACACTGCAAAGCAATAGGGCTGCACCTCCCTCTTCCAGGCTGAGCAGTGCTACACCGAAAACTAGAGAAAGTCTATATCAGAAAAGATACAGGTACACTTTGAAAACTTTATGAATAGTTTTTAAAAAAAAAATAAATCTTTCAATCAAGTTGACGGCAACTAACCCCACCTCATCCCAAATATATCAGCACACTACTAACCTCAGCTGGCAACTTCTTTCATTGGCTACACTCTACAATGGGCTTGGTGATTCTGCAGGAGAGGGAAGTTGGCTGCATCTTTGATAAAAAGTTTGATTGATATATACAGTTGCAAGAAAAAGTATGTGAATCCCTTGGGATTACGTGGAGTTTTGCATGAATTGGGCATAAAATGTACTCTGAACGTCATCTAAGTCACAACAATAGAAGAACACAGTCTGCTGAACATAATACTACACAAACATTAGATGTTGCCATGGTTTAATTGCACATAACATGTTTAGTTCTGCATGTTATACCTCTCGTATCGCTCCATGAACACGGTGCACACGTCTGTTTACTGTGCCACCAAATAAAACTGATGTAATGACCACATTATCTTGAGATAAATATGCATAAAACCTTAGTTGTGGCAATTCTGCAAGTATCCTACATTCCCCTTTTATACGCCATGAAAGGGGATATCCCAGGCAATAAACACAATCCACTGTTCACTGGATACAAATAAAAGAAATTAATGGGATTTACATCTCATCTAAAGCTGGCCATAGCAGGGGGAAAAAAAATCTCACAGATTCCTCCATTCATACAAAGTGGATAGAGGAATTTCCCCAGCGGTGACATTTTATTCTGACAGAGGCACCTGCAGCTGTCAGAATACAATGATCAGCAGCTGCAGCCACCGATCAAGAAAAGTCTTCCAGTTTGTCACTTCAACAAATGATGATCAAACATTGGACTTTTGTCAAGCAGAGGCGACCATACACTGATCACAATTTAATCAGTTCCCACAGAAGCAGCCAAATTCTGATTCATCAAGCAGCATAATATATTAAAATGCTAGATTTGATGCAATATAAATTGGGCTTGACTGTGTCCCAATTTCTAATTTATTAAGAGACAGTCAAAGCCACATGGTTTGAATACAGAAGCTAGCATTAAAATGGAGCACAGAATTTAATAATGACACTGTAAATCAGTGATAATTTGGAAGTTCTCTCACACACTGGAGTGTTTTGTGTTATAAATTCTGCAGATCACAACATGACGTTGTCCTGACATGCTATAACAACCCTTCAAAATGTGCGTAGACAGAGAAAGGGGTACGAGGACACCACTATGTAACTCAAAGCCGACGTACAATCTTGCACAAGTCATTTCACAACAAGTTTTTGGAAAATGGAAGAAAGAAAACGAAAACTTTTTTCTTTTCTTTCAAAACCTTGTGAGGAAAAAAAATGAGATCTGCAAAATACTCACCATGCCCCTTATTAAATTCCTTGGGATGTCTACTTTCCAAAAATGGGTCATTTGGGGTGGTTTGGTGCTATCCTGGAATTTCAGGGCCTCTGAAACTGTGATAGGAAGTGAAATGAAGGATTTATGCACCATCAGGCTTTCAAAAGAGGTCATTGGATTTCGGCTCCTGTAAGTGGCTAGGCTCCCAAAAAGTCTCAAACATGTGATATCCCCATACTCAGAAGTAGCAGAATATATTTTGTGGTGTAATTCCAAAAATACCTAATGGCATGTGTAAGAAATATACCATTTAAATGACAACTTTGTGTTACAAAAAAATAAAAAATAAAAAAATGTTTTGGGTCATTTTCCAAAAACTTGTGGAAAAAAATAATTCTTCCATGGACTCAACATGCCTCTCAGAAAATAACTTAGGATGTCTACTTTCCAAAAGGGGGTCATTTAGGGGTGTTTGTACTGTGATAGGCAGTCAGAAAGTAAAAACTGTAAATTCCAGTGTCTATACCGTAGTTTGTAGACACTAACTTTCACACAAACCAATGACACTTGTGATTTTTTTTTCAAAAGACATGTAGCAAAATACATTTTGGCCTAAAATAATGATGACATTATAGTTAATTGGGGTTTTTTTTTTTCAAAATGTTTAGTCTTTTATGTTTATAATGCAAAAAATAGAAAACCCGAGGCGATCAAATACTACCAAAAGAAAGCTCTATTTGTGGGGAAAAAAAAATGACATAAATTTCATTTATTTACAGCATTTTATGACAACGCAATTGCCATAAACTAGCGCAGTGCCGAATAGCAAAAAATTTCGTAAATTGTATCTATACCATATTTTGTAAACCCTATAACTTTCATACAAACCAATTAATATACACTTACTGGGATTTCTTTTTACCAAAAGACTTGTACCAAATTTTTGTACGAAATTTTAGTTTATTGGATTTTTTTTATAACAGAAATTAGAAAATACAGTTTTTTTCACAAAATAGTTTGTCTTTTTTTTTTTGTGTATAGCGCACACAATTAAAAACCCAGAGGTGATCAAATACTACCAAAAGAAAGCTCTATTTGTGTGAAAAAAGGACATAAATTTAGTTTGGGTACAGCATTATCACGCAATTACCAGTTAAAATAGCACAGCGCCAAATAGCATAAAATGGCATGATCAGGAAGGGTGGTAAATCTTCTGGAGGGCAAGTGGTTAGAATGGCATCTGAAAGTGGGTGGGATATATTAGGCAGCAAGTGAACATGTCGTCCCTTACAA